GTAATTTTTTTAGAAGGATTCTTATTATATGAATATTTTTGAATATTTTGTATTTTTCAATTATTTTTGAAATTAATAATTTTTATGTTACTATTGTAACAATACACTCATCAATTTCAAAGGCATTCACGGGAATATTCTTTGATACCTCACCATCCGTAGTCTTGAACTCAGATCTACATGCAACAATGTAAGATTCTTGTCAGTATTTGAGACAAGTTTCAAAGTAATTGCTTTCTGGTAACTCCAATGTCTCTGTTTTTCTAAAAAAAATATGTCAATTAGTAACCATCTACCAAACCAGCCCACCCAATCCCAACTAGCTATTCTCTCCAACCCCAACCAGTCTACCGAATCAGCAACTAGCAACCCCAACCAGCCTATTCAATTCGAACTCTCTCCAATTTTTATTAAAGACCTTGTAGCCATAGTGCTAGAACAATATTTCTACACACGCCAACTAATTTAACTAATTAGCCTAAGAAGATAGCATATTACTTACATAAGTATAATATTGAAACAATTTGCCGGAGGTAAGATCTTCTTTGGGCAGTAGTCTGAGTTACATACAGTTGTTACTGTGCTTTTAACGACAAGGATATTTTGGTCCAAGGAATCATGAAAAAACTGTTCAAAAAAGTATTCTGAAAGACCTCCAAATAAATTCACTTGTCTTGTTTTTGCTAACTTGGTATATAATGACAGATTCTCGATCCAAAAAAGCTTGGTCTCCACCCATCATTTTTGTTTCATGAAGTCAAAAACTTGAAGAAGATGACACGTCTGTGAATTTTGATCAGCTTCAGCAAAGGTAGCAGCATGTTTATGGATATTTTTGTAAGTGAGGAACACGCTTTGGATGAGTATGAGACTTGTGTTCACTGGGCATATACAGGTTAATTGCAGCTCGCCTTTCTTTTCTCCGTATGGCATTGTAGGAACGACAACATTTCCATAAGAATCTTTAAACGAGGAGATAATTTGCTTCTTCATCTATTGTTAATTTATAAGCCTATTATCCAAGGAAAGCAAAATCGAAAAAAAAGTCACATTACCTTTGATTTTTTTTTACTGGCCCGTCAACATACCTGATTATGTCAGCTAGCTGAATTATGCATTGCTCTATACTACCATTTTCAAAGGTAATATCCACAATAATCTTACTATTGCCAATAATTTCATTGATCTGAACCTTATGGTAAGGCTTGTTCAAAATTGTATCTCGAAGTTGAATCGACTCTCCTGGCATTAACTGATTTTTTCTCTTATTTTTGGGTCCTCTTCTCTGAGATAGCTTGAACTCATTCTGAGCATGACCATTGGTATCCTTCTGGCGAAGATAAGACTCAAGAGAGCTGCTTATGACTGATTCAACTATGGATCTATATAGAAAGTAAAGAGAAAAAGGTATATATAGAAACAAATCAAATAAACGAATGAGATTCTTACCTTTGTAACTTGGTCTTACTGTAAAAAAAAAGGTAGAAAGCAAAGATATATTAGTATATAGAAAGAAATTAAATAAACCAATGAGATTCTTATCTTTGTAACTTAGTCTTACTGTAAGAAAAAAGGTAGAAATATATATTAGTATATAGAAAGAATTAAATAAACCAATGAAATTTTTACCTTCGAAACTCAGACTTGTCAATGAACAAATGAACAGCTACAATATTTTGGCAATCGTGATCACTGATAACATTGAAGCCACATGGGCAAGCAAATTTTTCATTTCTACGTGTAATACACAACCATTGTTTCTCATCAATTGAGCCAGTGATCTTTAATTCCAGGCTCCTAGACTCTGATTCATTTTTTTTACTGGCATCATCAATGTCAGCTTCTAATTCAGCAGTAGCGTACTGGATGGCAATACTCGTACTAGCAAACTGAGTCACATTCCAAGTGTTCTGATCAATCTCTGAAAGTGAAAAAACAATAAATCATTGTGAACATAAAAAAACAAATAAGAAGTACTTACCTTGTACAAGATTTTTCTTATATAATAATTTTTCTTGTTCATTTATTTTTTTTTCGTTGTAATTCTGATTTTGTTGGAGGCTTGCCTTCTTCTTGCCAAAATCTTAAAAAAAAGATTTATTTTATGTTTTGCAAAAAACAGAATATTTTTAAATTTACCTCTCCATTTTCCCAGCATCTATACACATCGATGTACTGATCTTCTTAAGGTTTGAATGTATAGATTTAGTGTTTCTTCCTCGATAGTGTAGTATCATGTCTTTTTTGAAATAGCTTTCTAATAGCATATTTGTCTTCATAGGACAATCATAACGTTTGTAATCTGACCAGGTATCTGTAACAGCATTAATACGAAATGTAAAAGTCACAGAAAACAAAGTGTTTTTACTCATACCCATTTGCCAAACCAGTGCACTTGAAAATAAGACGCAATAGCCTCTGCAGTAGCCAAGGATGTACTCCCGATGGCAGCCTGAAACTTCTTCGCATCTAAGAGAGTAGTCTTCCATTGATCGAACTCTTCTTGATCCTGGGATCGCTTGATAAATCGGAATTGATAGAAGATTCGGTCTCTAAGCCATGATCATTCAGATTTTTCACAAACCATTTCTTAATTGCATCAGCTAGAAAAGTGACAATAGTGTGAAGACTTGAATGCATTACATCCAGTAAATAGCAATAGTATGATAATCACAACTGAAATAATAAAAAAACATAATAACACACAAGTCACAAATAAAACAATTTGAATTTGTGCGTGTACATTTTTTCTCAATCAAATCAAATCAATCAAATTTCTTTCATGTGGTCAAGTTTTTGAATTCTGTATATCATCGCTAAACAATTATTTCTCAAAGTGCATTGTCTAAACTTTATCCAAAAAAAACTCATCTTCATGCCAGTCACACAATACGATCTGTGTACTAGGAAAGTATTTTCTAGCTGCTGTCAAGTAAGATTCCCATTTGTCCATAGCTAACCATTTAGAATTCAATTGGATGCCATTCTTGATACTATATTTAATAAACTTCAAATCGTCATATTTATAGCATGATCTGACAAATAATCATTTAGTAAAATAAACTGAATTACTCACCAGCTCAAATATCAGGTCAACAACTGGGATCGTTTCCTTGTCACTTATAAATATTGTCACAACTTGACCACGGGGTTCATCTGATCTGATTAAGATTGCTTGCTGAAATCTCTTAGTGACTGTCTAAATTCTGTCGAAATTATAATAAACTATTAGTAAATAACCTGTCAAAATTCTGACGAATTTTGAAACCCGTCGTAACTGAAATTATGTTGAAATTCTAATTAACAATTAGTGTGTAACCCGTCGAAATTATGACGATATTTTTCTGAAAGAATTTAGGCAAGCATTCTTAGATCTGATTATAAAAGCAGTATTTGAAAAGTTTAAGCCATTGCGATGACTAATAGAATTCACAGCCAGAAAATCAGGATATTTGTCCAACAGCTCTGGCATGATTGTGGATACAACACCAAGAAGCACAGCTTGATCTTTTGGATCCTGAGTATATTTGATACCATATTGCTTTGATATGACAGTTCCTTCAATCTCGTAAGTATTCATTATAGAACAAACCTATTGATCAAAATGAAATTAAATACAGACAAAATAAAAAAGGAATAAAAAACAATTTCTTACCTTTTCAAATTCTAGTATGCTTGGATAATGCAGCTTTCTATCATATTTGAGAGCATTTTGAATTGCCTCGAAATTGGGTGCAAATCGAGTAGAAGTTGATTGAACTTGATTAACAGGCGTGTTGGAGGTTATGCTGAGAATCTTCGCATTATTCATAAATTCTGAAAAATAAGCAATATAAGTTGAAACACAAATTTTTTCAAGTTCATATTTGCTTTTTTGAATTTATCTGTTGCCATCACTGAAGGAGTTGCACTTATAGCTTTGCTTAAGATTGTTTTCCTAACTGACGTTGCCATTCGATGTGGTTTTTGCTGGATGTGGTCAGGATCATGATCACCATGACATTCAATATTACACAGATTGAGCAGCTTGTCCTGGAGAACTACGATACGGTCTTTTCAGTTACATCTGTCCTTGCGATAACCATTCTATATGAGAAGACAAAATTAGTATTTTGTAAAATTAATCTAAAAAAAAATGAAATCTTATATACCCGAGTAGAACATCCAAGGTATTCCATATATACGTTCTTTGAATGAGAATATTGTTTTGTGTTCTTGTCTACAAGCATGATAGCTTTCACATCCCCCTGTCTTACCTGACTTTTATGTATACAGTCCTTTGGCAAAATTTCATAATCTTTACTCAAATTACCACCTCCTAATAATGTTATGTCAAATATATATAAATCTAATACTGAGGGCACCTCTGTAAGTGGTACTTGTGTGCATCGAATGTTTGGCAGTAATGACCGTCAAACTATACTTTTTGCCTTGGACTTGATGATACTAGTGGATGAGAAAGAGAGGTCACTCATTATTAGTGACAAGTAATTTGGTATTAACACCTTAACGTGATGCTATTACCTCTTGATATCGACGCGATTTCATGATTTCACGTGTCTTATCACCTGAATTGTTTCAAAAAAGGTATATGGTGACAACAAGCCTTATACTAGACACTTTACATTTTGTTCCTTTTTCGCTGAAGTTGCACGTCTCTTGTTCCGATGTAGTGGATTTTACACGAACGAAGCGGATTTCACATGATGTGGCCAATAAAAAGCGGATTTTACACAGTCATCACAAATTCCACATGATGTGGCCAATAAAAAGCGAATTTTTCTATTTTGCAACTCGGATTTCACCCTGTCATGACCAATAAAAAGCAGGTTTCACATAGTTATTGCAAAAAAAGCGGATTTCACATGACATAAATAAAAAAAGCAGATTTCACATGACATAAATAAAAAAGCGAATTTTTCTATTTTGCAACTCAGATTTCATCCTGTCATATTATAATTATATATAGTAACAATCAAAAATAATATAATTTATTAATAAATATAGTAAAAATATAAAAAATTTAAGTTATTTTCTTTATATAAAAGTTTTTAATTTTACTAATAAATATTTTTAATTTTATATTAAAATATAAATAATTATATATTTTAATATATATTTTCAGATTTAATCTAATAAAGTTATTTTAATTATATATATTTATTACAAAAAAATTATTAATTTTATATATAATTAGAATAATTTTATCAGAAGAAATATAAAAGTTCTGAAAAGATATATATTAAAGTTTAATATTATTTGAAATGCTGCAGTGTAATCCTGCTTAAATTGTTAACTAATCTAAGATACAAGGTAAATTAATAACTAG